CGGTATTACTATCTTTCTGTACGCCATTCCCTTCAGCTTGATGGCATCTTCTTGTCGCACACTTCTTCCCATTTGTGACAAGCTTTTTTTCGACCGATTTATTATCTCGCTGTTGATTTCTTCATTATCTTGCAGGATAAAACCAAGGCAGCTGAATTGTTGGAATTGATTCACAATGATTCCCGCTACTTCACTAGTTTGATGGTTTTCAATCTGTTTTCACCACTGAAATAGCCATATATTCTTACAAGCATTTGCTCAGTCGAAGGCCGTTCTTTTCAAGAGCTGTTCTCTATGCCTCGGTTTTTGATTCTATAGCTTCTATGCATTTGCTGCATAGCATAGTGTTATTGCATGGAGCATACAATATGGGCTGCTTCCTGTAGAAGATCATCAGTTATCGCGTCCGTCGCCATCGAGAACGGAAAGCGGCTCAATGCGGATCTTTTGCGGACTCCTACCCGCACAGGGAACTATTCAGTTTCGCCTCACGTGCTTCGGACTACCATTGTCATTCTGTCGTAAATGTCTTTGGTAAGCCTGACATATTTTTCTGGCACATGCTTTTTTCTCATGTTGCACAGGATTGCTTGCCTATGGATTCGGTTAAAAACTTTCTTCAGATCTATAAAAACCTGTGTCTTCTCTGTATGTTTTGAGGATAGCATCTGTGTTGATCCTGTGGCATAAAAGCAAATTAGTGAGCGGTGATGTTGACCTCTTTCCTCAGTCTTTTGTCCAGCACCCTCTAATATAGCCTCATGACTAAACATTTGATTCCCCAGTAGTTTTCACAGGCGAGCATGCCCCCTTTCGTTTAGTGCATTGGCATCAAAATAGATTGCCTCCATGAATCTGGCATTTTCTCACAATCCGTAATTTTGTTGAATAGCGCGCAGAAAAAAATCGTGCCTTCTCGCTGCACTGCATTCCATGCTTCTATGGTAACTCCGTCCTGGCGTCCTGGCCAGAGGCCTTTTTATTTTTCAATCTACTCAAAGTCTGTTCCACTTCCTCCGATGAGATACTTTCGATTAGGCGCTGATTCGGTATGGGATTTCTTCCGTGATTTCCTCCCCGAGATGTTGCTCGTTTAGTAGCACTTGAAAGTGCCTTCGCCATCGGTTGCAGATATTTTTCTCATCAGTTAGGACCATTCAGCTTTCGCCTTTTTTGCATTTCACTTTGCTGAGGTCTCTTGTTTCTTTCTTCTCTGGATTTTGCCTGCGATAGAGGTATTTATCACTTCTTTCATTGCCACTTTTTTGTATAGGCTCTTTCACGCTGTAGACTGCTTCAGCGACGACTTTCTTTGCATCCCTCTTTGATATGGCATATTTTGCTCTGCCTTCCATGCTGTTTGATAGGGGGGGGGCCCATTTCTTGAACAGCTCCTTCTTCTGTCGTAGGGTTGCCTGAACGTGGGCACCACCACGTTTCTTTCTGGATCCGTGTGGTGTCTTTTGTTTCTCAGACTAATCCTCAGACATTCCCTACGATTATGCTGGAAATCCGTTACCATGGGTCGTCTACCTTCCTATTCCAATCTTCGTCATCCTCCACGTAACTTCCATTTTGAATGCTTCTTTCAGCTTCACTTCGACCTTTCACTATTATATATTCGGGCGGTCTATGATGTTTCGCCGCCAGACGTCTCGCCGCAAGATGAGGCCGTTGGCGTAGGCACTTATTATATTTAAGATAGCACTTTCTAAAGTCAGCTTAAACGCCCATGATTCTGTCATTAATTCGATTGAGCACGAATACCCTACTTTTGGTCGCTTCATTCAATACCACTCTACTTCCATTTCTTCTGCTTGATGTTCTACAGTAAATGAGTTTATGGACTAGCCCAATCTTTTTCGACTTCTTTCGTTTTCATTTCGTCTCCTGAATATTATAAATATGAACCTTTCCTCTCTGTAAAGCTTTCGCTAGCTCCACGTTTTTCCCCGCCATATTCCATTCTTCCAAGTGGCTATTCGCATTTTCTCGCTTCTTTTCTGCATATAAATATTTTTTTGCAATTGCCGTTATGGCAACAACTGGTACCGTTGCTCATTTCTTACAGCTGCTGGGAGTTGCTGCTTCGCGTCGCCTATGAGGAACGCAATAAAATTCTTTCTAGCTAGAAACTGACTCATCATATTCGGCTTTAACACTGGTTTTTAATGCAGGTTGCTTGCTTGACGCCAACTCATGTTTCTTTACCAAGATGGGAACCGTATACGGCTCGATGCTTATTTGACAGCGGCATTTACTAGCCATGTCACAGTGCTGTCATCGAGCATTAGGGTATTTTCTACGGCAAACTTTTCCAAATGGCTAGTCGCACCACCGTAGCACTGTCGCACGTTGTCCGCGACCGCTTATTCTCCGTTTATTTCACAGCTAACCCTCATATCTGGGGGTTGTTCTACTATTCGCAACTTGACGACGATTTTCGCGACATCTGACTTTGCCTCGACACTTCTACCAAAAGTTTTGTCACGGCATATGTTATCTTATTTATCAATTATCTGTTTAATGGTGTATTGACTATGCTGAAGAGTGGGATTTGCCGCTTCCTTCGAGCAGTAAAATTTAAACGAAATGGGGTGCTGATGAGTTTGCATGCCGCAGTTTGTGATTTATTTCAGTTTGCTGCGCTAGCTTGTGATTCGCTGAAAACTAGTTCTGACTTTGCGTATTACGCCTTTGCGCTTAAAGTCTAAAATCGGGGTGTGCAGCCCTGTATTTGCGGATCAGAAAATTATTTAGCTTACTGTATGCTGCGACAGTTCGCCAAGCATCGTCGAAGCGTGGGTGCACCGTCGGTTTATTGTGGATGTAGGCTGTTTATTCAGCGAAGTTTGTCACAGACCTGTACATACATAACGACCCAACCTTGCATTACTACCGCTGGAGAAACGCCGCTCTGCCGGTCGTGCGGCTGTTTGTTCGGTTTGTACGGTCGTGCCCTGAGTACCGGATACTGTCGAACGACTTCGTCTTGGCATGAACGACGACGACACGATCACAGATGATCAGTTGAGGACAAAAAGAATGTTTTTGCGAAACGCGTTCGAGCGAATTCTTCGCGAAAGGGATGTCCGCAAGTCGAGCAATGCGCAGCTGAAAAAGGCATGTGAGACTGCTCTTGGTAAGTTGACTCCTCTCTCTCTTCCTCTTTGCATGACGACAGCTTAAGCTTGTTTATTTGAGTTCCTTTCGTGACGACTGTCTTTTTATTTCATAATGCTGTGGCACTACGATTTTCGTTGGATTTTTATCTAATGAACAATAGTACATAAAGCAACAACAAGTGGTTTTTTCTAATAGACAAGTAGTCTCGTTCCTTAACTGATGGAAGGAAGTTTGTAACCATTGAAGGAGTCATTTCTGGCACTCTGTTCATGAGTTAGCGGCTGGAGGGCACTGATTTTCATTTCCATGCCTTCGGTAAATAATGCCCTATAATTGACAAAAGCTATGAGTCAAGTATGGCACTCATTTGTCAGTCTCAGAAGAAAAGTAAACCGTTTCTTGAGCTCGAACCGTTGATGTTTCGGGAGGCTGTTTTGGCTACCTCCGTGGCAGTGCGAAAAATACTGCATAACAGCTCGTTGCCACTTCTGTTCGCAAAATATTCTCCATACGAGAGAATGGGAAATATCTAATACTTAATGCACAGGTTGGGTCATTCGGTGGGTTGCTTAACTTTCGCCAAAAATGATTGACTTTAGCAAAGTTTGCCATTGGTCGTTTGTGTTGACTCTCTCCCACTGGTCTGTGTCTGCGAAAATATTTCGCACGCTGATGAACTACTGCTGAACTATATGGCACGAAATTCGTGTCTTTCGTTATACCGCTGGCAAGGAAACGTGTCCTGTGTTACCTCGGTTCCCTTGAATTTCCGTGATGGGCTACGTTTCTCTCGCCTTCGTTTCGTTTAGCTTGTGGTTCAGGGATCATCTCCATTTTCCTGCTCGAACTGACTTGCCTTACTTTGGATGAAGACATCTGCCGTTGCGATCTACTGCTTCCTTCTCACGTATATTCGTATTCATGAAAGAAAAAGTAATGATTCTTTAAGCCGTTCCTAACCTGATAAACGCTGTATAGGAATACGCTTGTTTTCTCATTTTGCCCATTGTTAACTCCGCAGCTTACCGTTAGATCATCAGGATCGAAATTAGCTTTGCTTTATACGTAAATCTGTATTTGTTTGTTTATTAAAATTAGAAAAGGATGTGCTGTCCTATATTCTGAAGGTTCGCGTTGTCAGTTTTTTCATGTTAAACTAACTGACTGTTGTTTACATGTCGATTCTTATATTGGAGTGTGTTGATAAGCGCTTTTCTCCTACAAAGCCGAGTTTCACGATGTGATTATGTCTTGTGGATCATTTAAGTAATTTTTCCATGGCATTTGAGCGGCCTGAGATTTTTCAGTGGGTGAATTATCCAAGTCAGAACAGAGAGATCCAGAGTTTAAGTGTATTTTTTGTACCTTTCTTCCATCCGAATGTCCGAGTGCTGCTATATGGGTAGGAAGCAGATGACCACTCACTATTCTTGCCATATAGTTGTTGTACACTCTGCCTTTAAAATAAGGCATTCCTGACTGATTGCGGCATGGAAATAGAAATCAGTCATTAATTTTGTCTAAAGAAAGTCGTCAGAAATGTTCCCAGGATGAAAATATAATGAAGACTGAAATTCAAACGATTACAGACTTTTTCTTTCGTTTGAGTATCTATCATGCATATATATGCATGTAGGTATGTATGCACTTACGGATCTATCTTTGTATGTACCATGTACGTACAGATGTATGACTGTACGTGTATATATGTATGAGTGTGTACTTGAGCATATAACGTATATTTTTATGTGATGCTAGATGCTCAACGATCGAAAACTTGTACTTTAGATATTTACTCTCGGCGAATTTCTGTTTTTATGGGACCAGGTTTAGGCTCCTGTTTTCAGCCTTCATCAGCCAAGTAATGAAACACACCGACCCCGATTCATATAATTACGGCGGATGGTCAAGATCAGCTTGCCGACTGTCACTTATGTTGACATCACATCGAACAGTTTACTTTTTCTTATAAAAGTAAACTAATGCAAATGCTGACAAGTCAGTCGACATTGTATTTCATTCGGCTATGAAAACGTTTAGATCTCAGGAATCGTTGCGCAGTCTGTGGGTCATGTGCGGAAATGTGACGACTTTAGCAAAAATTTCCGAAGAGAAATCTTGGCATATGCTAGTAGCCAAATGCTTGTCATGGAGTTTCACACTTCTCAAAAAAATCTGCCAAATTCATAAAGGCTGTTTCGTTTCTCAGACGAATGAAACGTTTTCGGCTGCATTATGCTATTGCTTCGCTATCGATGCTCTAAGAGACCGTCACTATAGCCATATAAGGCTCTTGATAAAGCTGCTAGCCAACCTTTATAAATCTGACGTGCAGTCCATTATATAGCAGCTTTCCAGTTCGGCCGTAGCGAGTATCGTGAAACTCGGTGATAACGTCCTCGCCGACGCTGAATATCCTCTTCAGAACGATACAGTATTTTACGTATCGAATCCGCAGCAAATTTACAGTGATTCTATGTGAGATCTATTCATCTGTTCATCTACCGGACCATTTGTCTATCCATTTTTTTATTCGTATATTTATCCGTTTCACCTTCTAGTCGCTTACTCTCTCGCTGATTCATTAGTACCCCCAACAGTTGGGATATGACACTCATGTCGCATGTTTCAATTCTTTTTCAATTTACAATGGGAAAGTTGCATCTCGTTCGACTTCTGTCCTAGTGGTGAAGACCTGGAAACTTGTTACGCAAGGAAATCCTTGGCAGGGCGAAGTACGATTCATTTCAACCATTGCTGTTGCCGTGAATGTCGGTCATGAGTTCATTAAAATCTGGCTCACTACAAGAAATAAAAATCAGCCAGATACCCGCAATACATAAACAGTGAATTCCTGTTCCACTGCCATTATCATCAGTCTCTTTGATCTTCTGCTGGAAAAGGCGTCTCTAAGACTGCTTTAAATTTTTTTGTATTTCTTTTTAATTCAGATCCATTTGAGCTTCCTCAGTTCTTCTTGCCGTCAATCTGGAGGTCTTCCAACGGGCTCTTTATTATCTCGTGGAATCCAGTCTAATGTCTCTCTGGTCCAGCGATGGTCGTTAGTCCTTCTTTTTGTCACTTAAACTTCTTCGCTCATGCAATGACACCGTAGACTCCCGTTTGTGTTCTTACCCATTTATTCATGTTTATATATCTTATTATTCCAAACATGCAGCTTTCCTTGCTGCGCTGAATTATTTGCATTTTACGAGTAGCTTTCAGACTTACGGAGTCCCCGTTTCTTATCCATGAACAGTGAAACGGATTTCTAACGAGAGTTCTGGCGAAGCTACATTCAGCCAGTCATCCACTCAGCAGATTTTTTTCCGATTACAGTTGAGTACGACATCTGGCTTTGTCTTCGATGCAATTCAAAGATAAGATGAATATCAGGAGCAGGTACTTGATGAGAAGAAGTTTTAAGTGATCTGATTTTTATGGCAGTAGATCCGCCTAATAGCATACAGACATCTACATTCGCATAGACTAAGGTCAGCAAACAATAAACAACTTGGGGATATCGTCTGAAAAATAAGAAAAGTGGTGGATAATCTGGATGAGCTTAGACTTGTGTGCAGGGTCGAGAGTCGAAGGCGAAACAAACGAAAAAGGAACCAGGCGATGCATATTGTCTATCAGTGTGAGTTTATGTGTGTGGCATATGGCCAACGTATGAACGACCGGGGAAGTATAATGACCCAATTTTCCATTACCCAGTCTCTCAGAATTCGCCGACAGCAGTGAAAGTTTTCCTCGAGTACGTCGGATTGCTTGTGATAATTATAATAAAGACCCTAACCGATGCCCTTTAATGAAGGTTGGCAAAACGCCTGGCCTAAGGTTTTCTGTCAATACTGTTTCCCTTCGATAGGGGTGATGGATGGACTCTGTGCAAAATTTATGTACAACAGATCCAAAGGCAGACCACCGGCCAAATGATGTAGCCTGGCACTGTGTAGTGCTTTGGAATCCCTCCTACTAAATTAGCGGATTACCGGGATAATTGGTGAAACTGCCTGATGTTGCTGCCTTAACGATCCTGCTGAAATTTCAGATTGTGGAAGTCGACGGGTGATGAATTCTCTTTATAATTATTGTTAACTTCCTTAGTATTCCCTAGTTTCATTGTGATAAAACTGCGCACTTTTAATGAACTGCTTTTTCACTCTGCTGTATTTTTGCCGGTATTATCGTATTCATTACTATTCACTAATAATCAGGCTATTTGAGTCATAGCTGTCAGTACTAGTCACTCTCATTTTAGTCGGATTATGAACAAATTAGCTTCAGTTATTTTGGTTACAAAAATCGGTAAGGACACCAAAAGATACAATAACTATGATACTTCGATGTGACACTTTTATAAGCATAAATCGGTTGTTGAACCATTCGTTTTCTTTCAGAGAAACTAAAGGTCGAAATTCAAAGCCGTGAACTTAGCTCCGTTGAGGCACACCATGTGGTTCCGTCGAAAGCCATGTATATCGATGCGGATCAGTATTTTATACCGTTCGAATTGGCCTGCCAGTCAAAATCTTCGAAAATCGCCGTCATTGCGCTTGATTGCTTGCAAGTATGAACTGATCGTATTTTTGTGCTTAACTTAACGGCTTACACTTTCAGAAGTTGTTGGCGTACGGACATCTGACCGGTAGTTCGGTTGATCAACTGAATCCGGATCGCATTTTAATCGGTCGGATTGTCGAGGCGATATGCGGCTGTTTTGTAGGGCCGCACACCGATGACACCGTCCAGCTTCAAATAATCAAGGTGCGCTTCGCCGTTTGACCAGGAGACAGCCTTTTTACCGGATAATCGTGGTAACCCTGTTCACTTTCGTTCTTTTCAGGCATTGTTAACCCTTGTGTCCAGTAACTTATGTCACGTACATGAAAGCAGCCTGTTGTTGTGCGTGCGGACATGCTACAGCATTTATTTGGCCAGCCGCAACTTGATCAACCAGGCGACGGCCAAGGCAACGCTCACCCAGATGCTCACCGTTTCGTTCAGTCGTATGGAAAACGCCGGGGTAAGTTTTGATTCAGCGACCGCCGTCTCGGGTGCAAACCAGGCGGCACTGACGGCTGCTTTCGAAACTGCTTAACGTTTGGGACACAGGCAACACGCGCGGTCAAGACCGAAGACCCTCAGGTGGTGTGTTCGATGCTGCTGAGCTCCATGGTCACCGAAGTATGCTTTCAGCTAGGTATTTGTTTTTTAAATAGAGTTTTCACTGCCTTTTTTCCTAACCATGAAACCTGTGAGTTAAGACTGCACGAACGGCAGCTCCGTTACCTCTCAGTCAACCAGCGACATAGCCACATCTGAGCCCACAAACGAGACATTGTCGACTTCCACCCTGGCGACTGGCTCCGTCGAATCCCTTCCACATGAATCGTTCGATGCCCAGTCAAGCGTCAGCGTCGACCTTGGATCCGGTCAGCTGATGTTCAGCAGCGTCGAAGAAAAGGATTGTTTTCTACTGTTTCGAGCGCTGTGTCGCTTGTCTATGAAACACTTGAACATCAACCAGGATCCGAAGTGTGTCACCGTCTTTCGACGTTTTCACATACTTCTTTTTCGTTCAGGTCACACGAGGTAAGGTCCCGCACACTGTCGCTGCAACTGATTTTGTCCGTTATCCAAAATGCCGGCCCGGTATTTCGTAAGAGCGACGTATTCGTACAAGCAATCAAACAGTACCTGTGCGTTGCCCTGAGCAGGAACGGCGTGTCGTCTATCTTGGAGGTGTTTGAAATCTCATTGGCCATCTTCTTGGCGCTGATGGAAAAATTCAAAGAGTACCTCAAGGCGCAGATCGAGGTAAAGTGCGAAAGCTGTTAGCCAAAACTACGAAACTTTTCAAATATTCTTATTATTGATTAGATCTTTATCATTAGCACTCAACCACTCTAGTTTAAATTGTGAATATAGGAGCATTCGTACCGGCTATCACTTTAGTGCATAGTACCGTTACGTATTGTTAACTGCAGTATATAGTGTTACTGATTACAGTATATGTTACAGTCCAGCATGGTAAGCAGTCCGTACTGGTATAGGCTGAAATTGAATTTCTGTTTAATCCAGAGCGATAATCCTTCATATTTCGACAGCGTTAATGTCTCAGCTTCAGCTCATACTGAAGCCAATGCATAAGCCTGAACCTGCTTCAGACAAAGCACAATTTTAAGTTTAAACTTCCTCTCGCACAAAAGTATGGTTGGAACAGGCAATTGCTGGTTTTAACCATAAAACGAATCAACACCACTAGTTCATACCGGATTAACACTCTAAGCCGTATCGTATTGTTATCACCGCGTACTATATGCTGTTAATTTATACTGCATTTATATATAATGGCGGTGTCGCACAGTGCCTAATAGGTTGTCTTCGAACACTGAACGTGCCGGGTTCAGTTCCGGCGGAGGTCAGACTTTGTCTTAACCACGAATTCTTCTTAGCAAGGAATTTGCCAAACATTGTTTCAGTCCCTGGGTTGCTCGTTCGGTATAGCAGCAGACTCAACCGTGAGACCGCAGGTTTGAGCTCTGGCTGTGGTCACTACCCTTTTTCCTTCCAGGTTGATAAATGAATATTATTTCCTGAGAGGGAAACATCAGGTTACAGACTATTCCTTCCACATAGATGCTGTCGACTCGGCCTTGAATAATGAGGTACTCCTGGCTGATAGCATGTAAATTAGCGCCTAATCACTAACTTTGTGAAAAGAAAGGGCTCAGAAATGTTCCTCACTCAGTGAAAGTGTAAGGAAAACCGAGATTCAGGCGGTTGTAATCTTTCTTTTCATTCTCTATTTCATACTTAGCGTGGTTCATGTACTGGAAGCAACTGTACAATGTAGTCAGTAAATATTTACTGTCATCATTATTTATTACATGTAATAATTGAATGTAATATACGGTGTATATATGCTACATTTTATATGGCCACAGAGAGGTGATAATAAACATTATGACTGACAGCATACATTCCCTTCTAAGTCCTACTTTCACTCTCTGAACGTGGTAGGAGGTTGAAAATATGTTCTCAATACAAGGTACAGCTGAGATTTTAGGCTCTAGATTCATTCATGCTGTGGAAGCTCGAAAAATATAGGTGGTTAAGTGGAAGAGGCAAAACTTGCCGATTCATCTGCCTGATTTGTTACCAGCTATCTGCAAGATCTTCACGACGCTACTGATAAGCAAACGTTAACAAAAGATGGCTGATGCAGAGTTAAAGAAGCAAGCAGGTTTCAGAAGTGGATTTAGTACGATGGATGATCTTCAAGTAGTATTAAACATAATTCAGGCAAGCAGCGAATATCAGCGTCCCTTGGTAATCCGGGTGACGGCCGAGCCGGTATAATTTTCGATGGCGTCAATACCATGAGTGGCAGGTGGCTAAATTTTACGGAGACTTTGCCACGCTCTCCAGCCCTCCTCCTTTCTCAACCGGGCTGGGAGCCGGCAATGGCGGGATTGTGTATCATCATCTCTGATATATTGTTTTATGTCATCTCTTGGCTCTATATAGTATACGATGTATATTGCATTACTTTAGAACGTAGTCACGTCTAGTGATGACAATGAATATTATAACTGAGCAGCGTATTCTCCATATATTATGCATAGTGGCAGTGTGTATACCAAAGTACAGTGTATACGCTGATAAATACATGCTTTACCGTAATGGCATGCTTTATCACCATATGACATTCGTTTAGTACACATATTTGCATTGTGCATAACAGAAAGTAGAATATATCGATGAGCGCATTGCTGTATTGCTGTCAGCAGCATGCCCCTGTCAGTGTTTTAGTACGTACTGCCATTATTATTTATAATCTGTTAGTCACTGTATTCTGAAAGTACATAATATGCATTATTTAAGATCAAGCTCTGTATTATTGATAAGCGTACACTGTGATCAGCCATATAACTATGCTTTTACTTGCTTCCAGTGCTGCCAAACGGAAGCTTTTCCTCTGTCACTTCTTTCACTGATCAGCAGATGTTTTATTAAAGAATGTTAAGAATGTATTTTTCAGCAGCATAGACTTGGAGTGAGGGGATAATCTCACTGCCATTGTCAGCTGCGTACTCTGCTCAACACTGTACAGAAAGTAGTGTTTTGTATGTGCTACTGTAACGAGATATATGAGTTTTTTGAGACCTCAGAATCACGTAATTAAGCTTATTGAACTGATCTGAGTAATGTGTAGTGATAAATATATATCTGTGATTTTATTGTGTACGGTACTGATACTTACGCTAAAATTGTTCACTGTTGTATTGCTGATAACACTATATTGCTGTCACCAATTTAGCATACTTTCATTGTGCTGTTGAAGAGGCCAGCACGGTTTTTCCGGTCTGTTCTTTGAGGACATCGATGATGCTATAGAACTTGCACCATCCGGCAGCCCTTCGACATATAATCTCTGGTAGGAGATCATGGCGCGTATTCAATTCTTGACCCAAGTTTGCATAATTGTTGACTTCTTCCAAATCCGCACAGTTTACCTTAAATTGGCCTTGGGCATGTTGACACTATGCATCACCTTCGTTTTCGTTGCCTTGATTTTAAGATCCACTTCATTACTTCGTTCGCTGAGCTCTTGCAGCATCTCCTACATTTGTGATAAGTACTATGTCGTTTGCGAACCGTAGATGATTCAGCTGTTCCCCTTGATGTTCAGTTCATCTTGCAAAGCACCATCTCGAAGCAGGCATTAAAGAGCTTGGGTGAGAAAGGATCGTCCTCTCCCACGACCTTCTCTATCGGTATACGAATTGGGTTTGAGAAAAACGTTATTTCAGTCGAGCATCCTGTATTCGCTTCTTGGATGATTTCGACATAGTTCTCATCGATTCCGTTTTCCACACAAGAGCTTTCAGGACAGCGTTGAGTTCCACGCTGTCGAATGCCTTTTCGTAATCGACGGAAAGGAGACATAGGGGTAATTTATACTCCCTAGCGCGCTCTAGCGGTTGTTTTAAAGTGAAGAGGTTGTCGGTAGTGCAATATTTACTTCGAAATCCGGATTGTTCCCTCCGTTGCTGCTCATCGAGTGGTCCCGTGCGGCGGTTGGTAATGATTCTCTTGAACAGCGCGATAGTTCTTCATTTCTTCTTTATCGCTTTTTTTTATGAAGCAGAATAGTCATTGATTCCTTCCAGCTGATAGGGATGGTCTTCTCAGTCAGGTAGCGACCGAATCTAGCGGCGAGTGCCTTCCAAAATGTGACCCACCGGTTTTTATGAGCTCAATGCTAATACCATCATTACCGGAAGCTTTTCCACTTTTCATTTGGAAGACTGCGCTTCCTACTTCACTCATCAGCACCAGGAGAATTTGTTTCTAGGCGGTTCCAATTTCGAGGGTTGGTACGTCGACACATGACGCAAGCGTTTTCGTGTAGAATTTTCTACATAGTTCTTCCATAACTGTTCGGTTTGTGACTCGACGTTCATCCTCATTTTCCAGCCTCGCTGCTGTTTGATTGTACAACAGCATTTCCCTTCTGCATTTCTTCAGGCTTTGTTTTCTTTGAACCACCGTTATTCACCTTCGACGACTGTAATCTTCGAGATCCTCCTTCAGCTTCTTACGAATTGACTTGCAGAGAAGATTGTACTTTACATTCCTGGTTTTATCCCGCTTCATGGTTCTATTTTCTAGCACTTCTTTTGTCATCTCTGAGACCCTCGAATCCAGTCGTCGAGGTTGAGCATGTTCGGCTCTTTTTGAACACTGAAGGAGCTTCTCGTCGAAATTTTGGTAGTCTTGTTCAATGCTTGCCGTCATAGTCCAGTCAGTATTCTGACTTGCCGCTCCATCTCTGCTTCGTCGATCTCCTTTGGCCTTTTACGCTGATACGACACCTACAGTGCCCTTCGTTTTAACAGGCGGGATTATGTTTATATTCTTGCCCGCAACATACATTGGTCGCTTCCTGTGTTGCACAAGGGTACTACGGAGACCTCTTTCAAAATGCGCTGTGTACCAACCAAAATATAGTCGATTTCATTTTTCGCAGCTGCGTTTGCTATGATCCATGTCCATCTCGGTTCCACTTTCTTCCTGAACCAGGGGTTACCGACGAACAGTTTGTTGGCCTCTGTCATCGCTACCATTCTATCACCCCTGTTGTTTCATTCTCCTGTACCAAACCTGCCAATGTCCTTCTCTCCGGCTTTCCCCCTTCGACCAAGTTTTGCGTTGAAGTCGCCCATCTAGACTTGATGGTGAGAGTTGATTCGAGTTCCTCATAGAATTTTTCAACGTCACCGTCATCGCTGGCCGTAGTGAGGGCATAGACTTGAACGATTTTGAAGGTCTTGTTCGAATCCAGCCGTAGAAGGAGCAGACCGACTAACGGTGAAATAAAGCGGCACGAAACGATTCGTAGAGACCACTTCTTGTTCATGATAAACCCGATTCCACCTATGTTCCTCTGTCCTCCTTTGCTCAGAAGAGCTGTGTTGCCATTCCTCCAGATCAAGTTGGGTTCTGACTTAATTTGTGTCTCGCTGAGCCGACGACATCGCAAGACGTTGTATTAATCTCCCTGAGAAGATGGTTGATGTGTTCATCCCTCAACTGCGACCTACAATTGTAGGTGCCTATCGAGAAGTCAGGACCATTTCTCTTTTGCGGCCTGGTGCATCCTGAAATTCTTAGCAACCCCTCATCCTTCGATTGACGGCCCTCCGCCAGAGGCCGCTCCCAAGGGCGCGCAGGGTACTGGGGCTCATATCCTTTTCTTCTTCTGTCCATAGTTGTTAGACCTGTCAATTTACCACTCACTAGTGCAGGCTGTCTGTGGTATCGCCCATGCTTAGCCGGCCAGAGATGCAGTGCTGCGTCATCTCGCTCGCTGGGAGCTGCCTGGGCACGTGTCCTGCCATGCTTCGATGCTCTGGCTTTTGCAACTCCCACACCACTATGAGGTGCCTGGGTCAGGATTTTTTGGGCGAGTACGTATAATAATACTCTATATGAGCTACTGCGTATACGTCAGACCTGATGGTTCTTACTCGGGATTTGTTAAAAATCGAGCAATTTTTCTAAGAAAATTTCATTCAGTGGGGCTCCGCTGTTTGATCCTAGGCGCCTAAGGCTGCTGTTTTATAAAAACCCATGATTCCATAATATGAAGGAGTTATTAAAACCTCGTTTGTAATGAATACGAGATTCCTGCAGTGAATAAGGTGATGCGACGTGCAATTATCACTGTAGATGGCCTAATGCTATTGTGCCGTGATCTGTTTAAATGTCCCTCTCAATATCTACGGTCAGGAAGAGGAGGGTTGTAATGTATATGTGATCCATATTCCGAAAAGTATGTATAATATATAATAACAGCACCATGTCATCCATACTCCGATAGCCATATGTGAATATTTCTGGGTACATGCGCTGTCCGTAATCCAGCCTCGGCATTTACGTCATGGCGATCAGTCAGTGAACGATGTAGTTGAAGGTGATCATTTATGTTGTTTATACAGTTTATGTAATTTATGGCGCGTTTCGTGGTAAAAACAATAAATGGTTACGTTACATATGTTACGTGTGTAATATATTGTGTATACATACGGTATAATTTGATTCGGTATGTTCGGTTATCTTTATTGGTGTAGTTAAGCTTAAGACTTTTCGGTTTATCTCTACCTGACCTGTCGGCTCTCGATCTGCAGGCTGCAGTAGTAGTGTTGAGCTGTGAAGCGTTCCGTCAATCAGACTCACACTGTGTGTGAACCTGAGCATGACACTTACGCGATAGCAACGAAGTATGCGTGTGCGTCTGTTCGGCAGATGGTCCTTTAAATTACTTCGACAGTGCGTCGCCGCTGAGCAGTTAGCTAATAGTCATTAAGTGGAGTAACTGAAACTACTTCCTTAATAATAATAAGCTAATTGTGATAAAATAATCGATATAATAATTAATGATGTATGGAAAAGATGAGCTGCGGAACAGCAAGGCGGACATATACTTTGCGCTATTTGTAGAGTAATGACCCCCGAAGCGTGCGTCAGACAAGAAAATCAGCACCGAAAGCTTTTTCTTTTCCATATGTCATCGGCCTCGATGGGCAATTCAGTATGAACTGAAATTGATTTGCGGTTCAGCTCAATCCGTTAATACTGCGGTTTTACTGGATTATTACCTAGCGAACCACGATACTTATGCATCAGCATTGTTTCTTGTATGTTTAAGTTTATGCCGTGACTTTGATTGAGGCTGGGGCTTAGGTAGTAATGCGGAAAAAATCACACTAACAGTCTGGACAGAAAGCATATTAGTTTCAGGTCATTTTGTGTGGCTTAATCCCTATCGGTATGGACGTATTGCCAATTTGAGCAGTAACATTCTGTTATGTGTTGCGCCTTTGGTACCCGGTAACTTTTGTACGAAACTTCGTAGATAATAAGAGAAGTGATCGACTGATCTTTTCTGTTTAATCATTTCCTGCTACTGCGTGCGTCCTAATTTTTAAGAAAACGTACAGTGTGAAATAGTGACAGTTTAACAGTCAGTGAATCTGAATCTCATCAAATGATGAATCAAGTTAATGCCATTGGAAGTATATTTAATGAAAACAACAGGCATGTCAGACTTTAACTTGTTTCTGCATCGTATTATCAGTTGTCCCCGTTACTAAATTTTCTTGTTTCAGGTGTTTTTCCAAGAAATATTTCTTAACATATTGGATGCACCGTCAAGTTCTTTCGAACACAAGTGGATTGTCATGCAGGCGTTGATGAAAATAACCGCAGGTACCACCGACTTATTTATTATGTTTATTAGCGTTGCTAGATCGCGGTGTCTCAGACCTGACAGCGGCCACTTCTAGCTTCTGCGGGATTTTTTTTCTACAGGTAGATAAACGGTTACCTATAAGAATTTCAGAACCAGTGATTATTCACACAAAATTGCAAAGAGCTCCGTATCCTCGAATAGTGTCTGCTCGGTTTGTCTGTTGTATTCGATCAGTTGTAATATGAAAATTCACTCTTCTCAGGTCTCTTTACTGTTTACC